TTTGTAGCAAATCGTCCGAGAGAGCAGTCGAGGCGGTGGGCCGTGTACACGAAGTACGCTCGAGTTTTTGCGTGCGGCGGGAAGCGGAGCGGGGAGTGGAGCGGAAGCGTTGCGCGGGCTCTTGTCACGGTCGGCGTATTCCGCTCCGCTTGTGAGGACTCTGGTTCACGCTGCACCGGCTGGACTTGGCGAGGTAATTTTTAGCTTACTTTTCTTTGAAGCAAAGGGATCTTTTTAGGCTAGATTCCACCGAGGCCCTTTCATCTACATTTGTGTCTTTAAACCGTTTATATCATTGAACATTTCTTAACTGCCGGTACACCAGTGTGGGTTCACTTTCTCGCCTTGGCTTCAGGTGTGTGCCACGTTGTTGCCCCACATGTCGTACGTGCGAGGCCCCACGTACGAAGCGGTGCGGGCGGGTGCGGGAGTTGCGCGCACGTTCGACACGCCCCTCCCGCTTTTGCCGAACGCCGCTACGAGGGAACAGATTATCACAGGTATAGTGCGAGAAGTATATTAATTTGATTTTGTGCACAACTTTATAGTTGCCTCAGTCTATATTTTCTTCTTCAGATTAGTTAACTAACAATTTTCACCAGCTAACGAGAGTGGAATCTTCGTTTAATCCTTTTGGTTTTTTCGTAGCTTTCGAGTCGGCAACGGCGAGCACCCTGGAATCCATTGGGAACCACATCATCGAAACCCAGGACACGCAAGTCGTCGTGGACGCTATTACCCAGCTGTTGCAGAACAACCAGGACGGGAAATATAATTCGCCGGTATTTTTAGTTGAATTGCGTTAATTTAGTTTAAAGAAATATGGGGTTTGATTTATTAAATTGGTTTAATGTTAACAGGTGAAAGCGGAACCCGGACAGCCTGTTGCGCCTGCGTCGATATTTTCCGATGGCACATTGGGGTGCGGCCTGTTGCTGGACTGGCTCGCTGAGCTCCACCGGGAAACCCTTTCGAAGCTTGTTAGTAATCTCAATCAATGCCTATTTATAAGAGTGAGTGTTTAGCTAAATTAATTGACCTAATTGAATTAATACATCAGATGCGCGTCATGTTCGTGAGCGGAGGCGCAAGTTGGCGGCCTTTGCTCGTCACGCTAATGGCTCAGAGGTCTTCGTGGCGCACTTTGCACGCCTGTCTCGCGGAACTGCTGATGCCTGATGGGTGAGCATATTGATGCACAAATGCCAAACTCAATTCAGCAAAAATACGTTCATTGTGCTTTGCGTGTAATTTTTGTAAATATAGTCGGATCTATCTTTAGAATATTAATCAAACTTCAAAATTTTCAGTGACTAGATACGAATTAGGATAAGGATAAAGTTTCTTCTTCTCTTAATGTTGTAGTTTATACGATGCTGATGATGAAAGGGTATTATCATGAGAAAATTTTGGTATTATTAATTAAAAAACGCTATCCTTAATACGAAGAGAAAACAATAGTTGTGTGTGTTTGTGTGTTATGAATATAATATATCATGTTTCTCGGTACCTATTTAAAGTCCTTAAAGAAGATAGATGTGTAAGAGAGGTTGGGGCTGCGAGTACCGATTAACCGCACTAGGCGTGGGAAACGTAACTAACGGCAACTAACTTGCTCAGAGATTCAGCATTTGCGTGTGCATTGCCACACTCAACAGTGTTGACTTATTCCGTTTAACACTGACCAAATCCACAAGAGTGCATTGTACATTTTTTGTTATGGAATGGTTTTGATTTTTTATCGAATTAGTGATTAACGTTAATGTAAATAGGTTCCTAAGTATAGTTGTACGGTTCCTGAGTCATCGGGGTGTTTTAAATAATAGAGGTATATTAACTACTCGTGTACAACAATAGAATATAAGCGAAATAATGAAATGTTAATTGCTATGTAACAGTCGAAGAGAGTGCCTACGTCTGGCTTTACTCTCGGGGTGTAACTCCCATGATTTAGTTTTAGTTATTCTAGAATTGTGAATATCCGTTATTCAATAACTCTGCCATATTTTCCTAATTCTCTTATATTGCAGGAAATGGGCCCCTCGAGCCGTATTAGACTTCGCCGAGGCCTTGGTGAACAGCCCCAGAATATGGCAAGGTCGCGATCGAGCCACGCCTAAACACTACGTGCCCGAAGATACACTTCGGCTCACGCATAAACAGGTAACGGATAATGGTGAATTGATATTTTAACTCATTCTCATCAGAACGAATATACAAAAGTCCCAAATTGCTCATTCACTGAAGTATTTGTCATTGGCCTGGCTCCTACATAATATTCATTATAATAGGATTTGGCGCTACTATATATCTCTAATAGAATATTTTGTGAAGCTGGGCGTACTCATCCATTACGTGAGCGAGGAGGCGTGGGAGGAGCCGGAGATGGAAGGGGGGCGGCGGCGCATCGAGGCTCGACTGTCTCTGCTGCTGCGGTGCTGCGGCGAGCCTCACTCGCTGCTCGCCGCCGCTTTGGCCGCCAGCGAAGGACATCCCTTGCTGTTGCTGCTCATGTATATGAAGGTACGCTTCCATCGACGATTTTCCGTCCCACGTTTTATATCGAAACCGTCTACTCATGTTTAGGGATGAAGTTTTACATTTCGCTAGTCTAATATGAGCTGTGGTCAAAATTACAACTCCAGATTTATCCTATCGAGTGCTGGTCGTCAGTCAAAGGTTTTAACCGACTTCAAAATGTGGCTTAACTCACCCGAGTCCACGCGTGTTCTCTCTTCAGGTACCGAAAATTCTTCAGCTCCTCCGTGAATGCGAAGAGAGACCGGGTTCGGCCATAGAAGTGGGCGCCCCCGGTGCGCGGCTCTCGACGGGAGCCTCCACCAGCGCCACGGATCGAGTCTCGCACACCTTGCTCACTGCTCTCGCGCCGAACACGTACCAATCTGGGAAGGAACACTCGCAGAAGTAAGCGACGTCATTGTTTAGGAAGAAAGTTCCACTGAACCAAACTTATTTTAGAAGGGATACCAGAAACTGTATCTAATTTAAATATAAAAAATAACGTTTTTTTTTTTCAAAATATCTTAGTTATAAAAACGAGTCATAGATCTACTTACCTACGCTTGGAACCGGAGTCTTCTCATACAATCTATTGTGGCTTCACTGAACACTGGGATCCTTTTCTTTCGTTGCAGGGCTTGGCGCATAGAAGCCGCGGCCAGGGCGGTGTGGTCCCGCGTAGTGGGTGCCGGCGAACGGGCTCTGCCCCTGGCGGGCGCCTTGTTGAGGGGCGTGAGGGCCAGGCACCATCATCATCTGTTGGCGGCGCTGGAGATGCTGCCCGACAGGGAGCTGTTTGCGGCTCCGGCGAGGTACGTATTCGAAATCGAAGCGATATAGTGAAATATGTTACGTCTTCTCGTATATATTGTAAGTAAGAGTTTACACCGCCGTGTAGCGAAGAGATCCACGGCATCCTGGAGTGCTTCCTGAGCCTGGTGTGCAGCGGGGGCGGCGGGTCCGGGGCTCTGCCCCACCGAGTGGCCGCCCTCCTCCGCCGCTACCTCGCTGCGCGCCCGCAGAGGGCGGCCTCTCTCATGCACAAGCATCGGGATGGCATCGCGTGAGTGTTCACCTTTTACGGTTTTGACGAAGTTGACCAACTCTACGATTTTTATATAAAATAAATATGTAACGATTGTCGGTCGAACAGGAATCAGCCGGCGTTGAGCGGCGTAGTGAGCGGAGAGGCGAGTTCCAGCGTGACGCCGCCGCCGCACGCTCTCACGGGGTTGCAAAGGAGGCGTGCCTCGCCCGACGAACTGCAGTGGTTGCTGCAGGTTATTAAATATTGTCTTTATTGTTTTATGCAATTTTATATGAATCAGACTTGCATTAAATAGTATTTACAGGAAATAGAGGCGTGGGGCGTTCGTCGCGGTGGGGCGTGGGGCGGTCCCCGCAGTGCAGACGCCATCTTGCGCTGCGCCGCACCGCTCGCCGCTTCGCCACACGCGCCGCTCAGGAACGCTGCGCTGTCGCTGCTGGCTAAGCTCTTACCCGCGGCACCCGATACGAGACCAGGTATGGAGCAAAGTCACAAAGAACCATAGATCCGTGCCGGCTAATTCCACCTTCGGCCGTTACGGAAGCGATTTTCACTCGTATTAGTTAATATATCTCTAGTAGTGTTATTCTAGTCGCTCGAGTGAGGGAATCTCATTCCTGAGATTGATCTCATGCCAATGGAGTTCTTAAAACTAAAAAGTCGACGGCGTGTGCTCTGAACGAGTACGATACCTACGTACCTATTACAGAAAAAAATTATTACGAAACAGATATTCGACCAAAACCAGTAGTTGTAGCGCCACTAAAAGGAAACTACTTTTAGATAATATATCTAGTAAAAGTGATTTAAATTTCAGGTCTGCAAGCGATCCTGGAATGCCTGGAGTCACCTCAACCGGAAGTGGTGGCGAGCGTGTTGGAAAAACTGCCAGACCTGGTTTGTGGAATACAAGAGCATGGAGCTAAACTCTTAGACACAGTGTTTGAATTAGGAATGCGCTCGAGGGCACCTGTTGACACCTGTCTGGCGAAGTGTGTGTCGGCCTTGAACTTACTGAGAGCTTGTTAGTTTAACAATTGGGGTCAAGCATAACCACTGACTGACACAAAGGAGTGGGATATCAGAAATGTTGTATCTGTTATGTCCAGTTGAAAATTGTGTAATTTTGGAGATTACATTTCTGTGACTTTGTTATACTTTTGTAAATAAATATTTTGTAGATGAATTACATAAATAAGAAACACATTAAAGAAGTTAAAAAATTTGTAGATATTTTTACTTTAATGTTTTAAGTTATTTTTTGTGATGTTAGTAGATGCATCTTTAGGTACTATATAACAAATAAGAAAACATTTTAATTTTAAAACTGTTTTATTTGTTAATTAAGCAAATATAATATTTTTAAAATAAAATTAATCTGTACTTTACAGAATAAATAAAACCAATACAAAATAAACATAAGTCTATGATGTCACCAGTCATTGTTACCAAGGTCTTCAAAAAGTTTATCCTTAATCTTAGGTCTTGGATCTTCTTTAATTTTAGTATCCACTGCACCTACTTTTCCCAGTAAGTATTCAAGTTCTAAAAATAAAAATTTAACATTGACTTCACTATTTATTAAACAAATCATTTTATATATGTTCATTGACATGATTTATTACATAAATTACTAAATAATAGTATTGTCTTTTATTGACATAACTTTCACACATTTGATAATAAAACAATTTTTTACCAGATTGAAGTTATGTATTTACAATTATTTTTTCATAATTTTAAATTTAACCGACGTTTCGCGGGCTTTACAGCGTGCGTCACCGTGACCACGCACACGCACACGCACGCGCAAATTGTTTTATTATCAAATTACTAAATAATGCCTAGTGTAAAATCAAGAAGAAATTATATTTTTTTATTTTTGCTTAAGACTGTTACTTATTTTTTATACAATAAAGCATCGCTTCTCAACCATTATAATGTTGTGAAAAAGTTAAGTATAATAGTCTTGCAACCCCCGCCACTGTAAAATTATAATATGTCCATACATTCGCAATATTTAGCAACTATCTTTTGAAACTATATGTAGTTTGTATTTATTATTTTTCAACAGAGTGCGACCCCCCCACCAGGGGCGTGACCCCCGCTTGAGAAATGATGCAATAATGTTTTTGAAAGTCAACTTATTTGAGAAGCAGTAATAAAAGTAGCTATAAATGTACTTATTACTTACCATCACAGGTCAAAGAAGTGCCTCTTAGTTCATGTGGTCCTACAAACTGCTTTTTTAAATCACCTTCAAAATACACAAAGACACTAGGCAGATTTCGTTCCGGAAAGTTTGGTATGCATGTCTGGGCAATTGCTTTCAAGAACTTTGTACATGGGTATTTTGCAGATAATTCTCTAAGGTGCTGGTTGAGCAGAGCACATTGCTGGATCCTGGAAGAGATATTATTTGTTCTCATAAAACTAAAACTTCACAAATGTTTTCCCTGACATTGATATTTAACAAAATATTTACTATAGGAGTGACCCTGGAATATAATTAATATAGAAAACTGTACAATACTATGTATACATACCCTTGCTTATATAAATGTATAACAACCCAAATGCCTTCACCAGCCTTGTTTACTTCCTGTACATAATCCTGTCCTGAGATTTCTCTGACATCACCAAATTTGGGTTTCTCTGCTAAAAGTTTTAATTCAGCAATTCTTCTCTGCCTGTACTGCTCAATTATTGCCTCGTCTTCTGAATCCTCCAGCTCATCCAAGCCATCCAGATCTAGCTCTGATAACTGTTTGTCCTCTAGAATTATTTATATTATGTTAATAAAAATTTACCACATCTTTGTACCTGGCTTAAAATTAAATAAATTAAAACATACATACAAATAGACAAATTCTTTGATATGAAGCACTCCATTTTCATATAGCGGCATACTTGTAACAGTTATGATATATCATTTAAATCCATACATATATATGAATTTTACTAATAATATGTAGTAGACACCGTTATAGTGAAACGCAGTCGATAAATTTTAATATAAGAAATATAAACATTAGCAGGTGTCCATAACCTTTTCGTGATTATTAGACCGTAAAGACTTACTTTCAGCCTGTTTCTGCTGTATTGTCTGCTCAATCATATTAACAATTTCATCTTCTGATATTTCCTTTTCTTTTTGTGGCAAGATTCCTTTCGAACGTAAAACATCGTTCCACTCTGTATCTTCATTGGGATTCTGAAATATACTCTATTATCTCCAATACATTACGAACAAAAAAAGCCAGTTGAAGTTTAAACTTACTTGCATTTTTACGAGTTGTTTTTACCAGAATTTCTAAATAATTATATATATTTCCTTAACCGCAAATATTGATAAATACAAGAGAAATAGAGAATTAAGTATAACGAATAGGAATTAGGGAAGAAATTTGACACCTCTCCGTATAGGGAAGGAATGTAGAAATTTCAAAATAATTGTGTCAGTCGAGTGATGACGTCTAACAGTTCCAATGTTGTCATTTGTATCACTTTTACGTATTGAAGTTGACAGCTACGAATGAGGCTTTGAAATGATAATTTTTGGCACTTTATTTTTTTGCTCTGTTTTTCCATTTTTTTAATTTTATTGTGATTTTTACATAGCTTTATATACCTTTTATTCATCTTTTTTTACAATTATTTGTTAGATTTAATAATCTGTATTAAAAAGTTATTTATCATGAATGTCATCGGTTGAATGACAACACATTCGTTGACAAGTGGATCTGCGTCGTGTTGGAAAAATTAGGTTCTCGCTATGTTCAAAGTCAGTTCGCGAAATAAATAAAGATTGGTCATGGCTGATATCGAAGAATACAAACATCAGGAATCGGATATCCATGAGGAAGAAGGTAATAATTGTTAAATTATATTTAAGAGTGCGTGTTATGACAGTGCTTGGTTCACCTTCTGCGTCGCGCCAGTTACCCTCGTGTAACTTGTGACATTGAAAATGGGTTCTTTTTATAATTGCTGCTTGGATTTTGGTGCTCACCTTCAAGAATCTAGCAGATCTAGTCTCTTCACATTTTGAGTGACTTAAAGAGTGATCGGAGGGCGCTAAGATGACGGGAGGTTTGGATAGAAGCCTTTCATCACGTAAGTGTTTTTATTATCAATCTTACACAGATTGCATTTTCTCATATCATCCCAAATAATAACTACCCTGCTCTTTAACCTCTCGCGTGTATTTAAATATATATAATTATGAAGGTTAACATGACCTTGTAATCAAAACATAATATTTTGTTTTATATATGAAACAAAGAATATTTTAACAGAACGATTGATATTGTCTTGGCGTATCATGTATTTGATTAAACATACTTGTCACTACACACAATGGGATGTAAACAAAGGATTATGTTACTACTGCAGTAAAGGCATAGGTACAGATTGCTTAAATTACTGAAAGAGAAAAATACAGAAATATTTGTACATTTGGTTAAGCCTCTTTTACTTAGACTCCATCAACAGTATAGGTTTAAATGTTATATATAAATATAACAATCTTGCATACTTTGCAGGATTAGTATAGTGGTAAGGTTAATTTATCATAATATATAACTATAGCATTGATATCTATGTAACACAATAAATATGGTGATAAAGTAATGATATTATCTAATATATTGCAGGTGATCAAAAAGCTAACAGTGAGCTAATGAATTTAACTTGATAAGATTATCAATATCTTTTTTTCATATGACTATACATACTTAATTTTACATTACAGAATATATTTTATATCACCATATTAATATAATATAATAATTTCATTAAAATACCACTGATATTAGTGTCTTTTAAGTATGATCCTATAATCCAGATATTTTACATATTGCTGTAATGGCTTTTTTAAATTAATTTATATTGGCTTGAATGAAAATGTTTTTATGTAACTTGGCGTACAATAAAACTTATAACTTGCAATGTAATTGTGCATAAATTAAGCCACTTAACTGTTAAATCATTTATTTGTTTTAATTATTAAAGTATGAATGATTTAACATTATTTTTTTACATTTTAAAATTGAATATTAAGCAGTAAAATACCTGATATATCAATAATGTATTAATGTAGTGCTTAGTTAGTTATTTCATTCAGAAACGGACTGGAGTAGGAATTTTCTTTTTTATCTTAAATGTTAGAAATTAAAATCCAAATATATAACTATAAATACCTATACAAATTAATCTTTTAAATATTGTTAAGATTATTCTTGAAAGTAACAAAAAATATGTGTATTATAAATTGCTTGTTTCATAAAAACTAGTTTGGAATGGTCCTTCACCTCTCGTAAGGTCGACTTACCGTCATACGTAGCCTGTATTTATTGTTGACGATTTAAACTTATATAACAATAATGCATTTTATTGCCGACACCGTCTATTAATTACGACAATTGGTCAATAAACAATACAAAACAGGCATTGTTCGATCAATCCGTCTTTTTCTACTGCATGAATACATTCGGATTTATTTGTATCTTTTTATCATATTTTGATTGTAAGATTAAATATAAGTTTCTTGCCTGTTTTGCCTCTAGTTACGTTTTGTTGCTTATCCTTTGTGATACAAAAATAGTAGAAATATCCAGAATACAGCACACCTAGCAATACTTATGTACATTGTACATATATTCAATTACAATTTTCACAGTGCAGAATACTTGACGAAACTATTGAAAAATAAATAAGGAAATTTATTGTCATAATATAATTTTCACTAACACTAAATACAAATGTAAGACAATGTTATATATTATATTAAAAGCTGCATTGTCTTTTTTCGATTAATTGATTGACACATCTTAATAAATAATACGAACTTTATCACACCATTCGGTTGAATCAATCGACATTCTTTATCTCAATTAAGTTTTTCTGATAATTGATTGCACTTCGGATGCGCTGGATCATTGTAATTTGTTTAACAAGATATTCTGAATAAATGAATGTGAGGTTTTGTGTGAAAGTTAATGATATTATTATCAGACAACGTCTTTACTTCTGCGAGAAGCCATTAAAGATGTTGATTTGAAAGATATTTCAAATCTGTCCAGTATTTGTTTCTTCATCAAATGGAATTATATTAACAAAGAATTTGTAAGTCATGTACATAATAATATTATTAAGAGGTAAAGTTTGTGTGGTTGTATGTAATCTTTGGATCTACTGAACCGTTTCAGAAAATTATTTCGCCAATAGAAAGCCACGTTATATGTGAGTCTCATATGCTAAATATATTAAACCAATAAATTCAAAGATTTTTTTCGTGAAAGTCGGATTTGCAAAGTAACTCGCAGAAAAATCGATCGAACGTAAACTTTTCTTACGAACGCTGCCTTAACCAGGAGAGATTGAGTTCTAAAGAAAAGTTGTAGTGCTAGATAATGCCTACAAAAAGTCAGCGACTGCATACGTCTAACTTTTAAAACAAATCCCCGCTGCATAAACCCGTTTTTCATCAATATCGAGAATTTTTCTTGGTTTAAGTTCCGAAACCGGAGATACCAATTGTTTTCTAGTAACTCATCTCTCTAAATGTGAGAATAGCAAATCAGCATAGTCTTGGAACCGGCAAATGTTACGTTGTTACAAACAAATTGGAGGATGTTTGGACAAATTGTTGGTTTAGTGCACATTTAAAATGGAGTCGAAGAATTCCGATATATTATTTACTTATCAACTTTATGCTAACTGTTTGCTTTTAAAAGTTAAATCGCAATTTACATATTGTGTCCTCTTTTATTTTTACCTGTTTGTGATATTTTTACGTAGTGTTTATCATTATTTTACGTCGTCAGAATCATATAATAAATAATAATTGGCTTTGTATAACAGTTTTTATAATTTTAGGACATTAAATTAAATGTCTCACTAAAAACGGTACAATTCGTCGACTGTGTTCCATTTTCCATTCGGTTGATTAATTACTAACCGATTTCGACAAATGAGGTGTCGTTTCATTAGTATTTAATCTAGAAAACCATATATCAATTAAATGTATGAAATTATAAACAAAAATATATCTAAATATTACGACGATCGAATTAAACTAGAATGTTTTGTAAATAAAATGTTACTCGTATGGTCTGTTAGAAAGTTATATCAGAAATGATCGCTTTCAAATGACCTGCTCCACCGATTCACATTCGATTAACACCTACAGATAGCTAACGGAACTACTGTTTGCTGTATCTAATGGGTTTTACAAACAAATGTGAACTCTTCCACGTATCGCCGCTGACCCGTAATTTTCAAACGTGTATTACTTTAATTTTATTTTATTTACTATACACCTTTACACACAACTTTTACTAATATTATTACTATTATTATTTTTTTCTTCTAAGTATTATTACATTCCTTTTCTTTCTTTTTTTGCGACTGAGGCGCAAACTACCTGCTGTGGTCTCTGGCAGAATGACCAGCGCGGTGGAACATTCTGCTCCTCAGCATAATGCTGAGCCAGGGCCAATGACAACTACAGCACACACGCATTACACACTTGAAACGAACGGAATGGGAAAGGGGGATTTTTTTTTATATCTCTCATTATATTTTATTTTATTGTTACTTTGTGTGTTTGTGTGTGTTTTCGTTAGTAATAAATGTTATGTTTATGTTTAATAGACTGTTTGAGTGAATTAATATGGCAGATGTGGATGGTGGATTTAATAAGTTTTTTTTTTTTAAAGACAATTCACACTAATTCGCCTAGTCCCATGCTAAGCTGGTGAAGCTTGTGTTATGGGTACTAGGCAACGGATATACATACATATTATAGATAGACATATAAATACATATTTAAACACCCAAGACCTAAGCACAACACCAAATGCTCATCACATCGATGTTCGTCTCAGCCGGGGATCGAACCCGGGACCCATGGATTCGCAGTCAGGGGTACTAACCACTAGACCAATGAGTCGTCATAGTATATATAAGTATATGTCCAATAAAAGTGGTAAACTTTTGATCCTTTAAATATGAAGATAATCTACAGATATTTTTGAATATTTATGCAATGTGCCTTAATTTTTATAGATTTATTGAAAATGCTTTATAATTATTCCTCAAGGGCCTCAATTTTTGTGTCATGAGTGCTTCAGTTTACAAAATCCTAGTGACATAGTTGAGTACGACGGATGACCCACATCAGTATCGGTCGTTGGCCGACACGCATTTCAAGACAATGCCGTGTAATTCAATTTTACGCCTAATTAGTTCCTGTCTAAATAAATACAATGTTTTAGAGGATTTTTTACATCGCGTGATATGAAGTTAATCTAAATCTTAGTGGAGAATTGAAGAGTCTGAGTTATTAACAATTAATCTCAAAATAATATATTGCGATTCAATAATATACATTTGAATAAATTGAGATAATATATAAGAGAGATGGAGGAGAGCCATCTTACAGGAATTATCAAATTCTAACAAAGATTGCCAATTAAAACAAGAAAGTGATTTCGGTTTTCATAATGTAAGTTATTTACAAAGAGAGTAGAGCCAAGGGCGTTTGCAACGCGAATCGAATACAATTTGATAGCATTAGTATATAGAATAACAAGATAGCGAGTTGGCAGCGTATGTTGGGGATATGTTAAATATTTTTGGCTCGTGATAATGTATGCCGTGGTAGGCTACGTCTGTGAATAAATAGGAGTTAATCAGCTGTTTAGAAAGTATGTTAACGGAACTTTTGGATGCCAAAGGTTTTACTTCAGCAAATAGGAAACCAATATATGTACGAGTATATCTGGCCTATGAATACATAATCAACCAAATATAAAGTCATAAATATCGGTCTGTTTTCCCGCACAACGGAAATAATTTTTATTATTTCGTATTGAATTTAGCGTTTGCGCAATACTCGCGTACGCAGTAATAATACTTTTAGGCATCTATTTATATCGGCATCATTCATCATCATTATAGCATCTATATCTATGTATATTGTAGAATTAATAATAATTTACTTTAGACTATTGATGCATATTTTGTTAAATGTTTTAGCAAGCAATAGTAGCTATGGTCTGAAGAGCCACCGACGGCTTGACTCCTGCTTCTAGAAGGGATTAAAAATTACAACATACCATGAGAAATGTATTACTAATGATTATTTCGAGGTGAAACTTCTTCAAAACATAATTTGAACAATCATACATCTCGCGTATTTGCATATTAAGTTATTTTCCATGCGCATAACCTGTTCGTTGTAAAAAATACAAGCCAGCTTAATCGATACAGGTGTAATTTACAATAAAAACTGAAAAGTGAGAACAACGGCTTGTGTCTGAAGAGATTATGCCACTTGTTGAAAGATCTTATTACGACGCGTTACGCATTCCATTGCAAATGCAGAAAAATAATAGTTTCGAACTTCTAAATTGTCTTTGAACTTAGGGCTGAGCAGTAGCATATTTATTTACAGTTAATTGCACACAATAGTAAACCCTATAAGGGGGTATTTTCCCCATATAACGCGATTCACACGTTATAATTCTATACTGTGACATTTATAATGATTTGTACACACATATTTCGTTTAAAACATACTTTTTCTTAATATTCGATTTAAATCCCCATTAACGAGGTAAGTTAAACGTAAATCATTTGTACATAAAGCGGAACCAATATATCGTGTTATGGGAGGAATTACTATAGCTCGTTTACTTAAATTTTGTAACTCCCTTTAAATTGACTCGTTGATCACGTAAATGAAAGCACAGGACGTGTTTATCTAATCAACATTAATGCCTAACGACAGTTACGTCCTCACATACTAATTGGCTTTTGAATTCTTGACACAAGACGTAAGACACCCGTAACTACTCTATCTAAGTCTAAAAACATAAGATCTTCGTTTTTGTTTTACCAATGTACAATATGAAGCCGAAGGAAGAAAGCAACCGAACTGGGTACGTTGTTCTCAAAAGAGGTTTTGTTTTAAGAAAATTAAAAACCAGTTCTAGATTCACTAAATACCAGGTCAAATATTAGCGTCATTCAGAGAAAACATTGAGTAGTCATAGTTCTGGCTCTATCCCAAGCTGTCCGTGTCAATAACCGCGCCTGGAGATCGGCCAGGATACACCTGCGGTCCCATATTTATGACATATATTAATGATTTACGTCTGTTTAACTAGTAAATATTGATCCTTTTAAAATATGTGAGAATCGTTTACGTAAATATTATCAATAAATGAGATTTGATTTTCTAGTCTTCAAATGTGACGCAGTAATCACGCATTCCTAGTGATGATTTCTTGGATAACATGTCTTATAGCTGTCTTAAATCAAATCGTCCTGGAAATTATTATAAAAAAAAAATTTAAGCTCAGTTTTAAAAAAAGATGAAGAAAATATATTTTTATAGAATTTATGAGTTTTTCTTTACGTTTTGTTATTGAATATCAAATTAAATGGTGCTTGATTCCGGCTCTTTAACAGAACTGAATTTGAATCGACCATGGTTGATAGAAATTCGATATGAACCTGTTCTCTCAGCTCTGGGTCAGATGTTAATAACTTCTTTACGGGCAATATTAAACTATATTCTCCTATGATAAGACATATATTGCACTGTAGTGTGATTAGAAGCTCAGCTTCCATGATTAATTTACAATCACTTCCTGTCAATCATCTTTCGTTTCACATTCTATGAGCATAGAATTCTGAGAATTATATATAATGTAAAGTTTTATGACAGACATGTAGTGATATATTTAAAAAATAAATCCTTCTTTTCCATGTTTAATTGTTAGGTATGAGGATATTAAATTAACTTTATTTATCTAATTATATATAACAGTTATTGCCAATACACGATTTTATGTATAGCGATAAGCGGTATATGGAGCTCACATAACGGCCTGGAAATGAGATATATAAATAATTTAAACCGTTATTTTATTTATTTATTTATAGAAGTTCACCACATGATACATAATGCTTTATCTTCAGTATATATGTTACAAAAAATTACAATAATAAAAACATATAAAATACAATAAAAATACGAGTAATCTTTTGCTTATTGTTCAACAAAAAAATAAATCATTTACCACTGCATTGTAATAGGTGTGCAGTTTGTCATACAAGGTTTGGTCACAATCGTTTCTATTAAAAACCATAGACTATAACCTGTACGCTAAACAGAAACCATAGAGATCTTTTCTTCTCCTACTACTATCTTCATGATATAATCCTTGGTGATTTTATCGTTAACCTTATGAGTTTTTCAAGCGATCTTATTTACAGGTGATCAAGTGATTGGCAGACTTAACTTGCAGATCAACCATAAACATATAAAAGATCTAATTGATATAGAAGATTGTAAGTGCTTGATACATTGTTTGTTCTAAAGTGCTTATTGTATGCTTTAAATGCTCGTAATCCTAAAAAAATACATATTTTTGCTTCGACTGGTGTTTCTATAGCTAACGCTCGAATTGGCAAAACGCTTTCACTCAAAACGAACATAAAATGTGTAAAAATGAGAGAATTAATAACTAAAATAAAAAGAATAAATCAGTGGTGCTACAGCCCTTTTAGGTCTGGGACTCAGATTTCTGTTTTTGTTTCATGATGATTTGTCAATTTAATAGGCAAGTAGGTGATCAGCCTCCTGTGCCTGACAAACGCCGTCAACTTTTTGAGTTTAACGCAAACCGGTTTCCTCACGATGTTTTCCTTCACCGTTTGAGTGTTGTTAAATGCGCACATAGAATGAAAATGCCATAATAGTCAGAAATCGAACCTTCGACCTCAGGGATGAGAGTCGCACGCTGAAGCCACTAGGTCTACACTTCTCTATTAACAACTACTCTAACAAATAATTTAGATTTTGTATATAAGTATCAGATGTAGTTGATTGTAACTCTGACGTTTATAGGAAAGCTTAAAACGATTAATAAATAAATCTTTTTGCGATAACCTTATATCCTATATTAAATTAGATCATTTCAGTATCAGTTTATGCGTATCACGTAACATACAAGGGAACTGAACCATAATTTTAAATACTGAAAGGAAACAATAAAATAATTGTTACAAGATTTTTGACATATTCGATTTCGTTCGTTTTGTTATCTTAAATGTTTGGCGTCATAACTCAGTCGGATTATAATATCTTGCTAAACTGTAAATACAAGTGCTTATGAAATTTTATTATATTAGGGCTTTTAAACAACATGTAAGACATACTGCTTCAGTTAGATCCAGTAATGCTATGTGCTTTAGGCTTTGATTTGTCTTAGTTTAATTATTTTGCACGATGAGATAATGTATTAAATGTACTTTTATTTAAGCCCGTGACAACTTTACATGTGCAAAGATATCTGGTATCAACAAATGAAAAATATATATATGTTTCTCCTTAAAAAAATATTTAAGTTTATTTTCCTACTGATTGCTTTGTATAAATCCTATAATAATATAACTATAGTAGGTATATATGTAACTAAAATTTTGTACAGGTTTATTCCGATGACCTTCCAAACAAGCTTTTGTGTAGGACAAACGCAAGTTACATTCGCTTAACTGTCGATTATGAACAAGTTGAAGGTTGCAATAACAAACGAATGTATTATATAATCCTTGCGAAAGTGATTTTTAAGCAATTAAGTTATAGATATAAAAAAATAACTTCATAATATATTTCGTGGCTTAATACAGAATATATACCGGTTCGTCTACAGGAACAATTATTATTGAATTCCGTTTTACACATTTTCGAGTCGAGTAGTATGATTTATGTGGCTTATTGTTAGTTCATATAGTCTAGGAAAACTGGCGTTTCATATTTTATAAATGCTTGATGCTAGGAAAAGAATGAAGCTGAAATATATTGTCCTCTGGGTCGGCAGTAGAAGGGGGAAAAGGGCCCCCCCCTTTTTTTTTTTTTTAAAAATTTTTAAAAAAAAAAAAAATTTTTTTTTTTTTTAAATTTTACGTCCTGACAAATGCTTTGTTGCGCCATCTGGAATTCTACCATTCCTGTATCATTTCTGACTTCTATTGTTCTTGAAAATGTATATATATATATCTAATTATTGTGTCAGGTGTGTGGGTTTAGTTTTTATGATACTTATGATTTTTTTGTTGCCATAGATTAAACAAAGAACTACCAGCTCTTTCGAATGACATTTGCAAACGCTGTTAATAAATAATGCATTGATTAATTGTGTTTAAAGATTGAACAATTCTTTTTTTTTTTTTATTTATTTATTGTCCATTTTATCCTGAAAATGCTTTGTGCATCTGGATTCTAACGTTTCTTGTTTCTTTTCTTTTTTTTTTTTTTTTTTTTTTTTTTTTTTTTTTTTTTTTTTTTTTTTTTTTTTTTTTTGGTTTTTGGTTTTTTTTTTTTTTTTTTTTTTTTTTTTTTTTTTTTTTTTTTTTTAAAAAAAAAAAACCCCCCCCTTTTTTTTTTTTTTTTTTTTGGGTGTTTTTTTTTTTTTTTTTTTTTTTTTTTTTTTTTTTTTATTAAAAACAATTCTTACAAATGTTTTTCTAATGATTGTAAAGTTAAACGTCATGTAACTAATGCAGATATGAGTATTGCCGTTTCACACGAATATCAGGTAATTGCTTGATTCATTCGAGTGCGTCAAGACACCTGTGGTTTATATATCCTACTGATAAAGGTTTTTTAGTGATTCGTTGTTTTTGCTAAAAAACATTTCATTTCACAAAATAATTCAGCAAATATCGAAGTTAATTTTTTGTGCCTTGAACCTAGAATTACCAACCTAGAACTGAATTTCAGTAGACGAGTAAAAATACAAAATATAACTGAGTTTGATAAAATTAAAGGTTCGCTGTGACCGTGAGAGCGGAACAAATAAAACTTTCGCACAACGTTGAGGATATTTTGAGTATTCAGCAATTGTAATGTCATAAGTGTATTTCGCATTGCATAATAGCTCCTAAAAACAGCTTCTATAATTATTGGTTAGGTTTTTCTGTGTTCTGCTCGAAGGTCACTAATTCAATTTTCGGGGACGTAATTTGTGTTTAGAAAAACAGAACTAGTTAAATAGAAGCTAAAATGTGTCACCTTGCTCACGTGACTTCTGTTTAATTTGCCCTCAACCTTGAGTCATAGGCATTGCATCCTCTACGCTTCTTTGTTAACGCTATTGTTGTCTATGCGAATAAACCCTACAGATAACTCCTTGCTCGGAGTAGCTAAGCATAAAACTTCAGCTTAATCCGCCTCATTCAGTGGTTTTAAATAATACTTTTTATTTAAACATATCTTAGTTATTTTATTATATATATTAAATAAAGACTATCTAAAAAAATGAGCATATACAATATGATGGAATGGGACTCACCACGGGCCTATGAGTTCAAAATAATCTATTATAGCTTTGTATAGATATGCCCTTAATTTCCAGTTTCAGAAAAGCCATCGCCGGCTAGCAAAGGTCCACACGGTGTGCAAGTGGTGAACACAGGTCCGGACCATACATTCGTTCTGGATGAAGATGCTTTAGCCGAGTTGCTGCTGCAGGATGACATCAAGGACAGATCCGTTGTCGTCATATCTGTGGCTGGCGCTTTTAGGAAGGGCAAATCTTTCTTATTAGACTTCTTTCTACGGTATATGCACCACAAGGTGAGTTTGTTTTAATAACGAATTCGGGTTAAAGGAAACTCTAACTTAAAGGTTTTAAGAGCCATTGTTTTGTTGATATCACTCTAAGTATGGGACGGGTTGCTCAGTTCGTAAGCGTATATTATATTAAAAAGTCACTTCACATTGTAACATCAGATTTTTTAATATTTGCTTTTATAAATCATTCTTGAATTTAAATTTAATAAATACAATATTCAGTATTTTTAATGTGTAACTAATACCAGACGCGATTTCTGTAAAACAGTCTTTTGCTTAACACGATTGATATTTAAAGCACTTGAAACGTCATATTATAATATTTAAATCTTATATAAATAAAAAGGATATCAAAAAATGTTTGAACGATAAAAGTTTTTAAATAATTTTAATTTCCCTATACCTTTCTCATAAATGTCTTTTCAATATTACAGTATGGTTCCGGCGGCGGTGGGGATTGGCTGGGGTCTGACGATGAACCCCTCGGCGGGTTTAGCTGGCGAGGCGGCTCCGAACGGGATACCACCGGCATACTCATGTGGTCTGAGATTTTCAAAGCCACGCTGGATGATGGCGAGGAGGTAATGATTCGTCTAAATAAGCCTAGAATATAACTAAGTGATAGTTTTGGGATTAAAGCTGATAACTAAAACCATGCGTTTTTGTAGTGACAGATGCAATAAATGTTTATATTCACCATATCAGTGTCAAAAAAAATATATATGTATTATAATTTATGTAAATGTGTGTAAATTTTCAGGTAGCAATAATCCTTTTGGACACACAAGGTGCATTCGACAGCGAATCCACAGTACGGGACTGTGCAACTGTATTCGCTTTGTCCACAATGTTGTCCTCCGTACAGATATACAACCTTTCGCAGAATATACAAGAGGACGACCTACAACATTTACAAGTATGATTCTGCACAAGTATTTCGCTATATTTCGTATTTGCAGTTATACATTAGTACGTTTTTGGTCTTGGTTCAATATGACTTTGCCAAAAAATAATTTTTTTTTTTTTGACCACAAATCTCTATATTTTTCTCGATCTCCCTTACTCTTTCTTTCTCTCTTAATATTTCTCACTATACCTCTCTCCCACCTCTCGCTCCATGGCTTTTTGCTTCATGCTACGTTTGCCCTTTCTCACTCTCTCAATCGCTCTCTTCCTTTTCTTCGACAAAAACATTGCTCATCTTCGTGACGTTCCGTAAAAATGTCACCCTCATGTGCCTAAAAGAAGTTTCACTTCAAAACAGTGTTAGTACAAACAACATTAAAATAATCAACTATTTGAATTGAATTATCGGTACTGTGTCCTAATTTTACTCTTAGCCGAGGCCAGAGAACCGTGAAACACGTCAAAACTCTGTTTAATGTCACACTACATAAACATAAACTTTTAATTAGAGAGGACTATTTTTATTCCAGTTATTTACGGAATACGGACGATTGGCCCTGGAAGATGGTGGTAGGACTCCGTTCCAAAGACTTCAGTTCGTTGTACGAGACTGGAGTTTCCCTTACGAAGCGCCCTATGGGGCCAGCGGAGGACAGGCTATTCTCTCCAGAAGACTTAAGGTACATTATATTTAAAGTATACCGTACTCTGCGACTTTGATAAATGATTTATTAATAATGCCATTTTGCAGGTATCGGACAAGCAGCATCCGGAGCTGCAATCTCTGCGCAAACACATCACATCCTGCTTCGGCGAGATCGGATGCTTCCTCATGCCGCATCCGGGACTGAGGGTCGCTACTAGTCCCACTTTTGATGGACGACTTTCTGGTAATTATTGGCCTCCTTGCAGATGTAGATGAAAGTTTAGTCAGATTCGGTTACTTTTGGGTCTGAACGCAGGCTTGCAAAGCCATACATTAGAAAGTAATATACGCTCTGCTAGGCTGGGAACTTCTATACAAATGGATATATTCATGTAACTTATTTGATATTTCCAGACATCGAGGTGGAATTCAAGCGTGCTCTACAGCAGTTGGTGCCGATGCTGCTGGCTCCGGACAACCTTGTGGTGAAAGAGATCAACGGCCAACGAGTAAGGTCCAAAGACCTTCTACTCTACTTCAAAGCTTACATGAACATTTACAAAGGCAACGACTTGCCGGAACCGAAAAGCATGCTCGTGGTGAGATTATTTTATATAATTATATTAATAAATAAAAATATTTATTTTAAAGTTTTTACACTTCTAACAACTTCTATTGAATGTCAATTTATTTTGGTTATGGTCTTTTTTATGCTGCTGTTAGTGATTTTATCTTTGTTAAAATATAAATCATTTATTGAAATTGATATCTTAAATCTCCTTTGATAAGGAGATACGATAATAATGCATTTAATAACAATTATTTATTTCCACGTGCTAAACAATAAACGTTACGAAAATAAAGTCTTTTAAAATAAATAATATTTCAGGCAACAGCCGAAGCGAACAATCTGACAGCTGTCGCAGAAGCGCGTGATGTATACACGACCCTAATGGAGGAGATATGCGGTGGGGCGAAGCCCTACCTCCAGGCCCAATTATTGGAGGCCGAGCACAAGCGGATTCGGGATAAGGCGCTTCACGCGTTCAGAGCCAAGAGGAAAATGGGGGGAGACGAGTTCAGTCAGGCTTATTGTCAGCAGCTTACGCAGGTTTGTCTGAGCTTTTACGAATAAAAGCATACAAAACTTGTAGGAATAATTTGTTATCTCACAATTCAATCGACTGAAATTCAGATGCGTTTCTGGGGCTTGAGAATATTTTTGGGAAAATATTTGAAATTATTCCAACCGATAAACACATCCATATTAAAGATTAAATAATGTTTATTAAGGATCTCTTACTCCTTTTGCAGGACCTGGAAGACCAATTCCAACAATTTCGGGCTCACAACGAGAGCAAAAACATATTTAAGGCCGCGCGTACGCCGTCCGTGTTCTTTGCGATCGCGCTCACCTTTTACGTCCTCAGCGGAGTCCTAGGGCTCGTCGGGCTCTACCCTGTGGCCAATCTCTGCAATCTGTGCATGGGAATGGCTCTGCTGACGCTGGTCCTTTGGGCGTATATCAGGTGAGACTGCAATTTCTTTATCGGTTCTGTATAAATAAGGATTCAAATATAATTTGCGTTTCAAAAGTGAGTTACAATCGGTCGGGATGAATCACGCGAAAACTTTGAATAGTTTTAATTTCGGGCTCATCTCTCTTTCTTAATTGCTATTAATGAGTTATCATAAGAAATTCTAATATTTTTATCCGATTAAATGACAGGTACAGTGGTGAAATGAGAGAACTGGGCGTGACGATAGACGAAGCCGCCAATTGGCTGTGGGATAACGTGAGTATCTTCGGAGTGACTTGGAAAGATTTATATGCGGGACCTTTTTGATGAACCGCTCGTTCGTGTGGGTGATTGCAGGTCATAAAGCCGGTGTATCAAGCCGGCCTAGAGAAAGGCATGGAGCAAGCCGCGGCGGCGGCCGCCGAAAGAGTCTCCGCGCCCACCGCCAACGGGAAGCACAAACAGTTGTGATGCCGTCCGCCTTCGCCCCGCGAGCGTGCCGCTTCAGCAGACCCGACGCCCGCTTCCTCGCGCGTCTGCTGGACCGATGTTCAGTGGAAACGCTTCGATACTTCACTAGACCGAAGGCGGCCTCTCGGTAGCTCGGTCTGTCGACGAGACTGGGGGCGACCACATGAATACCAAACAAACCGCTGGCAGCTAGGCGTTCCCGAAATAGCCAATAGAACGTTTAAAAGATATCTCCCGAGCCTCACCGAAGGAGAGGCCGTCTCGGACAAAGAAGCATCGGCAGAAGTGGACGGAAGAACGGCAGATTTCAGTGACGACAGTGAAAGGTCTATATTTAGTGACGTTGCGACATCTCTGCCGACGTTTCGAACGGACAGTGTTTTATATGTGTGCATTTTTGGATTTTGCAAAAAAAATTGCCTGCAAATATTCACGGGCCTGGTTTATTGTGTCGAAATTTATAGTTATATACGAAATACAGGGACTACAATTAGTGTTTTCAAATTATTTAAGTGCGCGGATTTGGTGTTTTGCGCAAAATGTAAAAGTTATAAATCTATAGGATTTTGTTTGAACGTCGGCAGATAAATATTACATTGTTTCAAAATTAGTTATACTCTGTGATTACGAAACGTGAAACATTAATGTTTGCAATTTTCCATTTTCTTATTCCGGTGAAAACGAGATATTTTAAAATGGCAATTCCACTATTACGTTTTGCACTCGCAGTCGAAGAAGACTGGGTGTTGCAAGTCACAAAATAAACCAGGTTGTGAATAAGGCAATACTTGAAATAATTGCGCTTTTGCCAATTTTCTTAAGATATAGACTAGTCGGCGAGCTCGTACATGTCTAATCGATAAAACAAAACTTTCGGTATCTTTGTTCACTCCAGTGTAACTTCTCTATAGAGTTCTCAAATATGTGTATTGCGGTAGACACACACACACACTATATACATACATTAAACGATAGCCTAATTGGGTTGACGTCACGGGTGAAGTAAAGTAGGTGACGGTGTTTTGGGTTTTGTGAAATACCTAATTAAATTATAAATTCCTTGATTAATCTGATTTGACATAAATTAGATTTAATATTCGATCGTAATCAAGATAGCTTCTCGTTTGAGATTTTGAAATATCCGATTGATGGGAATTGATTTTACTTTAAAAATAGAAAAATTCCGCATGGTTATATCGAGATATCTTTTAAAAATCCCATAGAAAATGCTGTTTGGTTGAAAATTGTCGTGTAGATACGAAACTTTGTTTTTAAGCACAAATTTTTTATGGTTAAAATAGAAGGAAGGGGTCACTTGTTGCGTTGCACGTTGCTGTTAGATGTACTTAATATCATGTTTCACAAAAAAAACCAAAAATATATATTGAAGAGGAAATTCTATATAATTTCGTTCGGAGCCTGTTATCTAACAATGTGTCGTATAAATTTTGTTATTGCATTTGCGATTCTGTTGTCAATTATTCGTTTTTCTTTGTTCCCGTTGTTGTCTGTACTTCAAAACCCGACATTGATCCATTCGGGAAACGTATGGAACGCTCTAAAGTAATATTGGCTCAAGATTATGATATGAATATTTCTTCTGAGACTAGATTATTCCCAGATAATATTATTTCCTTTAGTATAATAATTATAATGTTTTAACTGTTTTAGTAAGGACGTTGATTTATTCGTGGGTTTTTTGGAATTAAATACGTGGTTGTGTTTTTATATTATATAATCTGTTGATTGCATACGATTGCGTGAGTTTTTCATTTATGTTATATCATTTGCTCTCTTCCATATTTTTATCACAATATATTTTAATGTAGCCGATGACTTCATTGCTTCTGCACTAAAATGCCTTCTAGCTGTCGACAGTTTGCGTTGAGTGCAGATAATGTGGATAATTCTATAAAGCCCTGTCTTTTACTTTTGACAGATCGGTGGGGTTGATTAGGCAATATTGAAAAATATAGCTTTTGTATATTGCAAGAAACCGTACTAATATACTACCGTGGTAGAAAGATTGCTTTATATTTGAACACAATTATAAAATATTGCTTACAAGTACCCCACAGTGATGTAAATAACCGTAAGTGCCTGCTTTTGGGAGAATCGGATTACAAATTAAAATTTTATCCCTATTTATATGTGCCAAGCACGAACGATATCTCTATTATCAATGGAGAATTTGTTTTTAGCATTTATTAGCAACTATCGGCTATCGTTTCACCAATGAAAACTGTAATCTTTAAATTGAAGTCGTTCAAGCGATGCTGTCCCGAAAACGGTCCACTTACATGTATCTATTTATGACAATTTGTTAGGTTTTCACTTCTATGTCATAAATGCTCCCACATATGTGCCAAACTGATATGGCTAGAGCGGCCGCTGGTTTAATATGCTCCTATTTTCATTCTTTTGCACAATTTTATGCTCTAATGAAAGAACTGCGGTGTTGGCAATGCTCGAAAAACCAGCTGCCGTTTGAGCCACAGCTCCACGACAATATTAGTGAAATCATGATTTACTGTATTTTATAACAATAATATTTCTTACTTTTTGATAGGAATGACAGATTTTAATTCATTGTTAATTTTATTTGCTTTATTATCAATTCTACTTTGTAAATAATGTCGACTCGATGTCTGCATGTCTAGGGCATGGTGAAAAGTGAGGAACGAATTATGTTTTTAAATAAGACGTCAATTTTTCAGTATCCTAGTATAGTTTTAATTTTAGCCTAAATTTTTGTTGAAATCGTGGACCGTGTGTAAATATTAGATTGAAATATACTCTTACGTTAAATTATGTATTTTATTTATTGACTACCGAAAAAATAAAATGAGATGTTAAATTTTATGATTTACTTATTCCAATAGATAATTCTCAAAATTAAAATGAAAACATTATACAAAAGTCCGTCTCTCTCTATCATAGTCATAATTATTATATCACATTGTGGGAAACACCTGTGAGGGAAAAATGCACAACGAATTAAAATGTGGAACAGCCACGTGAACCGTGTGAGCAGTTGGTTATGTTGAAGTGAAATCTGAATATTCTGGCGCCTCACAAAGTCTGCAACTGGTACAGCACCAGCACCTCCTGGACGACGCTGGTTGATGTCGTAGTCTGGATCTTCACTCGCACTCGTGTAGCGTAGACCCGTCTATTGTGTTGGCACAGCATCTTGAACTGCCACTTTATATCGTTGTTTTATGCATAATAATACAATTTTTTTATCTTTACTTACGTCAATTAATGTAGTTTGAGTTTTAATATGTTTTTCAAACTACGATACTTTGAAATGATAGCACAATTTAAGTATATCTTACCAAAAATTAATTAATTTAATGAGTAATTTCAGATCTAAATAAAAACGTTTTAAAACAAAGATTCGTGTATTTCAAAATTTGCTCACCATGTAGTTATTATTAATTAACTGCATGTTTTGCTTCCGCGAAATTTGTTTTTTACGATAGCTTTGCTACGTTACATCAAAAAGGCGTTTATAGATAATTAATTCGATGCCTCTGCTATTTATGTATGTAAATAATAATCTATATTTGTTGCGTAAACATACAGTATTTTCTGCACACGCTTATTATAAAGTGTGATTTTTTTAAATGTTGCCTACATTAAATAAATATATGTTTGTATAAGTCTTTGTAATTATAGTTTATTGCCAGTTCTTCTCTTCCGTTCTACGCCCTTGATTTGAGAACTGGCAGTAAATGTACAATTAGAAGCATTTATGTATATTTCTTTTTTGACGTTCATAAGTGTACATTGTGTAATGTGTTACCTACATGAATAAATGATTTTGAATTTTAATGTGTATAAATAAGTATCTACGAGATATCTGCACCAGCCACCAAGAGACCTAAGTCGGACCTAAACGACGGAGCCCGACGGGTAGGATCGGAGGTTCAAGGTGGTGGATTTATCTCAAGGCATTCGGGCAGTCTCACCACGGTAATTAAGGGCTTAAAGGAGGCTTCGCCCCTTTGTCTGGAAGCAAGAAATGAATAAGACGATGATGAAACGACAACGATGTCGTTTTAAACCAATAAATCAGATTTAAACAACTTACATATATTTAAAATTACGCTTGAAAGTTGTCCCTTGTTAGTGTATCGCGCATCTTCAGTTATTAAAATTTGGAAAGCCATGTGAGCCGTGTGAGCAGTTGGTCAATATCCAAGTGAATATTATTAGACTACTTTTTAAACTGTCAATAGAGCTCTGACCGATTTACCAGAACTCAGTTATAATAAAGCGTTCTTGCTGATAGTGATGAATCAATCTTATTCATTTATATGCAGTTTAAATTGTTTATCTTTTTCTAAGCGAAAGCCATGTGTATATTTCATAAGTTTTCATGTTTACAATAAAACAGGTATAAAAATGTAAAAATATATTATCAGATCACTTACAACTAATAATTATATTAAAACTACTAAGTTATATTTTTTTAAACAAGGTTAGTTTGGAAGACGTCTTAAACATATTTAGAAAATTATTTATTACGATATAAAAATAACGATCTCTTGTATAAATTGTTTTTTATCATACAAATAATCAAAAATGGCAGCTTTTAATCGTTCTTGTAATTTTCCCCTGTCGTGAGTTGTCTCGACGCGGTGCCGATGGCTTGTCTTGTAATCTAGAATTAATTATTAAATTAATAATTAAGAGCAGTGTTGGCTTTCAGCGTGCGAAACTTATTCCTGTGCACCAATGGACTTTTAACATTCGCTCGAACGGTGAAGGAAAACATCGTGAGGAAACCGGCTTGCCTTAGAGCCAAAAAATTCGCCGGCGTGCGTCAGGCACAGAAGGCTGATCACCTACTTGCCTATTAGATTGACAAATGATCATGAAACAGAGACAGAAATATGAGGCCCAGACCTAAAAAGGTTGTAGCGCCAGTGATTTATTTTTTATTAATAATTTACAATTGTACAAACTGCAATATGCAACTTCGGCATAATTGTTTGCTAAGACAAATCATTTTTAAAATTTTAAAAGAAAATGAAACAAGACAATGAAAATAACACCGTACATAGTTTCGTATCGTGTCCGCCACGCCATCTATTTGTACTCCGATGTCCCGCAAGTTTCCGCTTATTCTGCAAAACATAAATGTTCTTAATTAGTACCTACGTCTACTTAAAAACTAAAAAACAGTCTAGCGTTAAACATATAATCGTATGTCACCTAGTATACATCCAAACGGCAAGAGCGGCTAAAGACCCAACTGCGATACTCTCTCCAATAGCGACCAGGGTTTGCACCCCGAGGTTGGCAGCAAGGGAGCTGAGGAGAAATCCCAGGAGTGCCAACACTACCAACACGGTGGGAGTACCCGCGATACGGAATATGTTCTTGGCTTGGTTGTTGGCGCGGTATTGCTCGTATTGCTCCTCGATTTCCTGAGAACAAGAAAAGACTGGCTCATGTCTGAACTTTCATCTTATATCAACTAATATTATTAAACTGAATGTCTGTTTGTACGCGTTAATATATTAAATGTTTAAACTGTATAAGTTTATGGAGAAAGAACGTTAGAACAGAGAACAGACAGAATAACAGTAAAAAATATATAAGTCTCAAATGTTACTTTTACAGGTGGATATGAGCCTCTGATACCTCTTCTTGATCGCATCTTCTAAATATTCATCTTCTTCTCTCTCAATCTTAATCATAGGTCTAGGCGTATTGTTAATATATTCCGACCTACCTTAATTAATTTCTCCTGATAACTGGCCTCCAATTCGTCTCCTCCCATCTTCCTCTTATTGTGAAAGGCGTGGAGGGCCTTATCCCTCGCCCTCTGATGCTGCTGTTGAAGCCTCCCAGGGTCCAAGAAAGGCTTGCTCCCCCCGACTTCCTCTTCCATCAGGTATTCGTATACATCGCGAGCTTCGGATACCGCCGAGAGATTGTTCGCTTCAGCTGTCGCCTGAAATATTTTTTTACAGATTATAACTTTAGTATTAGATTATTGTACAACATAATGTTTCAAGTAGACGTATAAGATGTTCATAGACACTCTGAAACACATGAGTAATATTTGTAAAAATACCAACTTCGGCGCAATAGATAGCGTTAATATGGCAACATTACCGCCAAAGGACTTGTATCCAGGTCACATAAATGCATAAAAAAGGGTGCGTGTACTTATGTACGCGCGTAAGAAGTTATACTTCTTTGGCTTTCTTTATTTTTTTTAAATATTAAATAATTAATAATAAATATTTAACGTAAATAATTTAATAATTTTTAATATATTATTCAATTATTAATTAATAATAATAATAATAATTATTATTATTCATTATTTTATTATATTATTCATTCAATTTAATAACTAGGTATGTTTCATAACCTTTTAACTAAGTAACAATAGGTCTTTGTGAAAAAGCATTGCTTAATTTCTTTGAAAAAATAATTAAAACTCTTTTATTTGTTTAAAAGGTATCACAAAGGTCATTATGGTCATTCAAAATTCTTGGCATAGCTGCTAACGTCACGCATATTCTATTTCTTTTTACTTGTAGATTGTCTTATTTCCATAGTTTAAAAAGAATTCGTTAGTGATCTAAGCGAACTTCATACTGATAATTTTGTGTCACGGTGCGCGCGAATCGTAAAATTTCACTCTCATCAATTTTTCATAACGCGCCTAAAGAAGTATAACTTCAAAAAAATATCATATAGTTATATCATCAATAAGGCAGTGTCTCTGGCTAATGCACGTAAAGACAAGTATAATTCCAACGTACCGCCAAAATACTCTTCGGTTCCGGCAGTTCAGTTCCATTGAATATAGTCATATATGCTTTGAAGTAGAGGAACAGGTCTTTTGCCTTGAGCTGCTGTTCCGCTATCTTTTTCAGCACTAGATTCTCCGGAGCCAGAAGCATCGGCACCAGTTGACGCAGAGACGTTTGGAACTCGGGACTTATATCTGAAAGTTTCATTATTACACAAATCAGCCAATATATTGTGTTATTTTTTTGGCAAATGGCAAATAAATTAGGTTTTCCCCTAATTTACTATTATTCATAGAAATAATTTTTTTTACAAATTCTATCAAGTTATTGTCTCATCCAAACCTAAGCTACTGGCAGGGTCTGCAAACGTATAAAATGTATCTTTACCAGAAACTTTTCCATCGAAATTGGGATTAGTAGCCACGTTGAGCCCAGGATGCGGCATCAGGAAGCAGGCCAACTCTTCAAAGCATGCTGCGATGTGACGTCTGATGGACTGCAACTCCACGTGCTGGCCTTCGTGAATCTGAATAGAACATTTGAGAAATTCTAAAATGGCTAAATTAAAAAACGGACAATTAGCTTGGGCTTGTTTTTTTTAAAGGATATACAAGCGAGGTCAAGTTTGAAAAGCTAAACTAAAAAAAATGATAGGAAAAATTCATAAATTCTACCTCAAGCCTTTTTTCCAATAGACTCGCCCCTCCGTCAGCTCCGTAAGGATGTTCGTATGGAAAGCTCCAATCTCGTACCAACAACTGCAACCGCTGGAATGGCTTACCGCTGGCACTCTGCTGAGCTAGACGACCGTAGTCTGTAAACAACTAAAGAGTAGTTTTGTTAGAACCACGAACAGGGAACGATTAATTAACTGAACTTATAAGTTTTTTATATTTTATGATTGGACAATTCACACCAATTGATCTAGTCCCATGCTAAGCTGGTGACGCTTGTATTATGGGTACTAGGCAACGGATATACATACATATTATACATAGATAGACCAAACACATGCAAATACATATTTAAACACCCAAGACTTAAGCACAACACCAAATGCTCATCACATCGATTTTTGTCTAAGCCGGGGATCGAACCCGGGACCCATGGATTCGCAGTCAGGGATACTAACCACTAGACCAATGAGCCTTCCATGTTATTATAGTGGACGGCAATAGTAATAAAAGTAATAATAAGTTGCACAGTACGTTGTGTACAATTGTTTACACCTGAAAGGGAATACGAACTTTCCTCAATTTGTTTTTTTTTTGTACATAATGATTGATTGGCGTCCATGCGTCGGGTTGTCTCTCTCCCTAAAATATGGTGAGGGGGCCGATGGCTGGCCATGCGTCATACTCGTGAACGGGTGCTACTTGTGGTGACTGGTCGTACTTGAATTCGTGTATGCAGTGATGTTAGTTATTTCGACTATGTGTATGCGTGTTGTTCCCACGAGAATATAAGTGCGTGCTCCTATTTCACCATGCCTCCTTCTGATAGAGGACAAGTCTTTGTTTTTAATTTATTATTATTATTATTAATTACTTAAGATGGCATGTGGAACATGGTGTAATGGTTGCAGCTCCTTATAAACGTTGTGTAAAAAGAAACATGGCGATTATAAAGAGTGGCGGAGTGTTTATTGCCAGGTCTTCTCTTCCGTTCTACGCCCTTGATTTGATAACTGGCAGTAAATGTAAAATAGAAGCATTTAATGTATATTTCTTTTTTGACGTTCTTAAGTGTACATTGTGTTTATATTATTAAATGATTTTTGACTTTTTATTTAAAAAAACATTTTTATACGACAGTCACTTGACAAAACGGTCAGTATTAGTCGAATCAAGAATCATTGGAGTTAAATTACATCGGAACTGTTTTTTGATCGAAATATAATATATGCGTAATTTAACACAAATCGCAGAAACGTGTTTATTTACGTGTTGTTTGCAAGCCATTCATGTTACGGGGACACGACGTTGCAAGTTGGTGCGACATATTATCTTGAAATTCTAAATATTTAATTTGAATTTTTAAAATCTGGTCAAATAGCCTAATAATTGTTAGTCCCAAAAAGCACTTTGAAATCACTTACCTGTAAGTGCTGCAAGTCGTCCTCTTCAATGTTTTGTGAAAGGTTGTAAATCTGTACAGAGGACAGCATCGTGGATAATGCGAATACAGTGGCATTGTCTTTCACCGTCGATTCACTGTCGAAGGTGCCTTGTGTGTCCATCAGTAGTATAACCACCTGTAATACATAAAATTATTAAGTTTTTAGTGGATGATAATATTTGCTAATTGCAATAACTTATAATTTATTTTAAGCTGTTCTACAGATTTCCGATAATCTTTGGATAAAATAAAATAGTTTTTAGCACAAAGTTGCAGAAAAACGGTTAAATACTATTCTGTCGCATATAAAAGTTATTTTGTTGCCTAAGAAGAAGAGAGCCGTCCTACCTTTTCTCCATTATCGAGAGTTGTTAAAAAAGGCTGAGACCATAGCAGAAGACCCGTGGTGTCTCTCTCTGAACCACCTCGCCAACTGAACCCCTTCAATGGCGCATCTTCACCACCCAACCAATCGCCGCTGTCTTTAACATGGTACTGAAATCCATTTTATTTTCTTGAACATCATAACTATATAAAAAGTTTTTATTTGATTCGTACTCGAAATAAGTCAAGTAACCCAAGTTAGGCACGGAAACATATCTGCGTTCGGAGTTGCGAGGTAATAAAATCAATAAAATTGTAATGTTGCATGGTTTTGATTTATTTATTTCATTTTACTCAAATTAGCCAGTCTCTAGTAGAATTTACTTAAATGACAACATAAATTGCCTTTATGTTTCATAACTTCGAATGCATTTCCAAAGTCAACACGACTATTATAAAGAAAGAACAATGAGTACCTTATGATGTAGATATCGTAGAAAGAAGTCCAGTAAAAACGACTTGCCCTTCCGGAAGGCGCCTGCGACGGACACAACAACAACGCTTCTGTCCTTTATATCCTCTCGCAGCAGGAGTTTGCTTAGCGCCTCCTCATCCAAGGTGAACGTATGGTCGGATGGCGTCACTACACGAATACCCTGCCCCGATTCTAATTCCGCCATGACTGGAACTTCTTTTAAACAAACTATTTTATGCATCGATTTTATTTTTATTAATAAAACTTTTAATATACATGCATATTCTTTATTCATTAAGTAAAATTCTATTAGATTCCTATCATGGTCAGCTTGAAAAAAATTAATGTATATTCATGAGGGAATAAAACCTACTTTAATTTATAAGATGGTCAATCAACTAAATTATTTCGGTTGGATTATCACCATGACCCATTACGTTATTTAATGACAAATTTAATTCTATAAATAGCGTGTCGTGTTTTATTTTTACTGAATCAATAAAATTATAACTATAAATTGCAGAAATTTGTTTTCCTGATCAAATAAGGCGATTATTGCATAAAATGTTTAATATATCGCTAGCTGGAACAGGAACATATTTTATAATAAAACGTTTTGTAACGCGATCACTCGAAACTGAAAATTTTATATGGAGTCAAATGACAAAGCACTTTTCATATAATAAAAACAGCGTACTTACCTTAATAATTATCAATTGAATATAAATTTCATAGCACAGATACACTAAAAACAGTATTCAAACACCAAATTATCGTAAGTGTACTTGTAAACAAAGCAGTGAAAGTGGAACGTCAGCTGAGTGCAAGGTGCGTCGCTCGAATGCGCGGTGGCCAATGATGTCATAGTTACATGGGTGTATGATATCATACTGTACGCCGTTCTCTAAAATACGAAGTTCCGACACTTATTTTTATATTTTCTCGTAACCAACCAGGTGATCTTCATGACCTTACCTTTATTCAATAAACTTAGAAGTAATGCTATAGGTCGTGCACACGTCTGTTAAATATAGTCATAAATGGGGCACAAATATTTATTTAAAATCTCAAATTTAGATTTGTTATAACAAAATGGACATGGTTTTTTACTTCAATAAATTAATACGTAAATACATGCTATAAGAAAGTTACTTGCCATTATTGGAAAGCATTAAAAACAATTCGCAATATACGTAGATGCGTGCTCACGTAGAACTAAGATAACTACGCACGCAAAATAATTAAGAATACTTTCTACAGACAAAATCATTTAAAAAAAATTATACTCTATTATTGATATTGGATTCTACTAGGATGATATTGTGTTCTTATTGATTTCTTTTAAAACCTTCTGAGGTTGGTGTATAACATATAGAAAATACTGTTATCAAATACATATATTAAGAATACAACATTTTTATCACTTATTAAACTATAAACAAATTCTTTTATATTGCATATTAATAAGCAAATAATATTACAAGTACTTATCATATTTCTTTAATCAATAAAATAGGTGTTCTTTAAATGGAAATTACAGATTTTCTTAAATTATGTAGTGCAGCTATCTTGCATACTGCATACATAGAATACAGATTACAGATACAGTGTAAACTCTAATAACAACACTCGGGGTTCTGTGCATATTTTGATGTTTCAAAGAGTTGTCCTTATATGGAAAGAAAAAAATTTCTTTGTTAGTAATTACATAAAAAACAATTCTTATTTGAACGCTATTGCAGATGCACCAGCTTTAGGGGGTTTGTCATTAAATCAAGGGACATTACATGGAATATACACTGTACTTATATTATATACATTATTACTAATACAAAATGTGCATTATTTTTATTTATATTTTTATAGTTTTTTAAATTAATTTCCATTTACCTATGATATAAACATTTTTTTTATAACATTAGTGTAATCCTCATTGAGCTTTTCTATCATAGGTTTTAATTCTGTAGCTTTTAATTTAGCAGCCTTATCATTTGGATCTAATTGTAACACATGCTGTATGTCTGTCCATGCTTCATCATACATTTTTAAGCCTGCAAGTGATATGCACCGGCGGTAAAGTGATTTTATATTTTCTGGATCATTCTTTAGAGCTAAGTTGCATAGCTCTATAGCTGCTTCATATTCATTAAACTGAAGCTGACAATGAGCCAGGTTGTTATACAGTTTAACCTACAAAAATAATGGATTGTTATTAAAAATTTATAATAAACCAAAGATATTTAAGAATAAAATTTTAGAGCATGTTAGGCAAACAACATTAATTTTAAACTATATTAAGTAAATTTTTGTTTAATCTGTAAATTATAAATATAATTGGAAAAAAATGTAACACACCCTCAAATCAATCATTTCTTTTACTTGTTCTCCAGCGATAATATCTGGATCTATTGGTTCAATTGCCACTAACATTTTAAGAGCTTTGTTAAACCGTCTAAAAGCATCAACTAATCTCTTCTCCTTTACCAACAGCACTCCCCTTTCCTTATGATGAATAGATGCCTCATACAATCTGTTCCAACTCCAATCACTTATTAATTGTTCTTCTGTAACTTCTGTTAAATGGATTTCAAATGATATCTCCTTTACAAGTTCCTTGTTATTATTTTTATATACTATGGTAGCCATACAAGATTCACCGCAACACATTCGTTGTAGAATTAATTCCACATCTTTGTCTAGGAAGTTATCTAAATCACCTATTACAACAGTGCCGTTAAATGAGGGACTAAATATTGTACTTTCAGGTTCTATTTCACATGTTCCACTATCGTTTTTGCACTGTATTTTGCTTAGAGATAGTTTACACCGGGAATCTTCGTATGGAACAACTGAATAATCGCCGGGCGTTATTATTGTTTTATGAATTTCTCGGTCCCATCGAGCACTCACAACTGTATCAGCAGTCATTTTATGTGAAAATGTTTTGTGTGTGCGTAAACACTTTTATTGTACATGTACCTAATGAATAAAGCGCGAAACTAAACAATGTTAAAACGAAGAATCTAAACACAATCACGACTGCGAGCAAAATTCTAAAATCGACAAAATCCCACAAATAAAAAAAGTTTTAAACATTAGCATACACCATAACATAACATATATATTATGTCTGACATAATAATAATATGTCAAACATGTATTTAATATCTACCTCCGCAAAATACCGCATAGTAGATCTGTGGGTGTGGATGTCACCGTAAAATTGTAAACACCGTTAGATTGTAATCTACCTCGCGAGATTGTGAACTGTCGAAATATTGTGAACCTCAACGCACTGCTTACAATTTAACGTATTATTATTCGGTAGATTGTAATCTATCGAAGTGAAACCGTCAAATTGTGAAACGGATCGCACCTCGCGCGCTGATTGGTTGAACGTAATATGCCCCGCGCCACCATATTAATTGTTTGTTGATATTAACGGTGTTTACAATTTTACGGTGACATTATGACATATACAAACCCAGACTGGTTATACTGTAAACTGTAGGACATATGAAAATGAGTGGGGTTCAGTTAAGGTTTTTTAAATATTTCAATACATGTTTAGTCAATCGAGCTATTCATTAGTATCTTTAATAAACATTATAGAAAACAATTTAACAATAACAATCTTCTTTTAAGTCTACCATTTGTTAACAAAAATATGTGAGAATTGATCACACAAGCCGAAACCCGTGTGGTATATTATAATATTTTGATAAAATCGCCCAACTAGAAAATCAACATCTTTAATTAATTCTCTCTGACGAAGTTCTTAATTTAATAGTGAACTTTTTATACCAATACTGAAAATGTAATATCATAATAGACGTCGTACTTTAAATAGATCTATTAAATTAAAAAGTAACGAATGAAAATAATGGAACATATCAAATGAACATTTGTCAAACCGTCATAAAGTTTTTTATTCTGACAATTTCATTTATGTCAGAATAAAAAACTAATCATCTGTTTATTTTGAATAACGCAGAAGGTCGGGGAAACAGTAGTAAGAACAAAATTTCTTAGTTCAATTTAATTTCAGAACTTGCAGCAAATTTTAATTTTGTAAAGGAATTACTATTTACAATTTGTATACGAGGAAATATTAAACATTAGTCAAATAAATTTCAGATGAAAAATATTTTTTCAATTGTTCTCCCTTTTTTCAGAGTCAGACAGAATGACACTGCTTTTGAAGAATGTGTGGCGCAATGTGCTTAAAAATCGACCTCTTAGTAACTCAACTATACGATCCAGTCTTTCATCCAGTAGTAAGTATTCTGTAGATTTTTTCAATGTTATTAGAATGTTTCTCATCATAATGTTTATATATGAAAAATTATAACTCAAATATTATAATAGTATATACAAAAGTTGTCTTTCTGTTTCACTTACCAATGTATGAATATTAATGTACATTACTCAAATAAAAGAATTTTTCACCATTTTATCTATGTTACTTGCTATAAACCTGGTTAGCTTAAGAGTTTAATCTTACTTATTTTTTTTATATAATAGGTTTTATATATAATAACAAACTAGCCTAAGGGACACCCAAAAGGGGAAGTCATCGTAGCCCATAAGGCAACCATTTTTAGTGGGTGCATTGCCGGTGCATTATATTTTTTATATATAAATAACATTACTTTTTGCCTTAGTCTCTGAGTTGGCCATTTCAAAACCATCTGATGCTCTAATGATAAGCATAAAATCGGCTCCTAGTACTGCTGAGGTGCTTGCTGCAATTCAAAACAACATAGGATCACTTACACATAGACACATGTTACAAGCTCTACGTACCCTTTTTGAATTGCAGAAATCGAATAGGTATGTTTATTAATATAGTTTTTCTGTCTTAACAATATTAGTTATTTTATAATTTTAAAAATTATTTTCTTTTATAGTAATGATCCAGAGATGCTCATAAAGGACCCTGGGTTTAGTGTTCTTTGTCAAAATTTCAAGAAACATGTTCGTGCATTGGAGGTTAATGAAACTATTGAGGCTATAAAAGTACTTTCTTATTTAAAAGTTCCTGTTGACTCTCTCCTGGTTCAGACTCTCCTGCAATTAGTTAGATATAATATAAACATGATTAGTGTTAGACAAATTATGTTTCTGGACTTTATTTTATCAAGATTTGATACGAAGAATCACTTAGTGGATGCACTTAGGTTGGCTTTACCTCTTGCATTTCAAATTCACCTACCATTAGAATTAGACAACCAGGATTTGCCCCTACTCCGTGATATGTTGATGTATTCCTGTTCTCATGACTTACCAGACAGATGTATCAATAATATTGTCACAGGACTCCTTTTACATGATCAAGCAATTGATGCTCACATAGCAAGATCTATTATCTGGTCTTTATGTGATGTGAATTGTACTGAAAAAGTTTTCCCGACTAGAGTGCAGTTACTTCACATTTGCTGTGATATTTTGTCTGAACGTATAAATAAATTATCATATGAGGATGTATTAAGAACAGCTGCAAAGTTAAAGGGTAGGATTTTGGAAAAGCACCCAGAGTATTATCACCAAGAATTGATGGACTCTATTGCTGGATATGTGATAAACAATAATGTGCCATTTGAAAATGGTCTATTAATTGCCAGGGTTTTGTCAAGAATTGTAAGTTTTTTTTTTTTTTCCCCTTTTTTTTTTTATGTTTCATTATTTTATTTTTTTCATATTTTTAGAATTTTCTTTTTTTTCCCCGTAAGTGGAATATTGAATCGAGTAACATCGTTTAGAGTTTTTATAAACGGGATAATTTTATAAAGGTAAAACAGAAAAAATGAAGGAAGGGAATTTAATAAATTTAAAAAAATTCGCATCGAATGTTGGTAGTTTCATGTCGATACGATGTGGTGGTTTAGGCGTGAAGGAGCCTCAAACGAAGACCATTTTTCTTTATATATATAGATATCTTTTTTTTTGAACAATTGAAATATTCAAATTTATTACAGGCCCATACAAATCTCTCTCTTGTCGAGTACTTGTGTTTCCAAGCGGCCTCTAACGCACATAC